ATTCAGACATCAGTTCAAACATCATAAAAGCAACCAGCTAAATTAATGAGAATCAAATTAGGCTTTTATCATACTTTAGTACATCGCATTGCTTTGAATGAAAAGTTTTGTGTATCCCTAGAGAATGTGCTGAACGTGCAGCTGAGCATCGAAAGTGTAAATTTATCAGAGTAACCTCGAAAGTTCACAGCGATAGTCTAAGCGACCTGAATGATTATAGAAGTAAGAGTTCAGCTGGATATAAATCGCATAGATCATTAAGATTGGCAAATACATCGTTCCATGCTATCACTAGTGCTTATTAGTAGCAAAAAAAAATCATTTAACGGCGATGCGCGTTATGAACATACGTATGAAGACCAAATTTGCTGCTAATTTTCACCTGAAAATAGGTAAAAATAAATGGCAACGCGCAGCAGACTAGCCGGTGCGGTCATGCGTTTTGTGCAATTCAGCCCATCGAACGATTGCCTGTTAATGATTTTCACTGCTTTGTACTTTAGTCTGTGCAAAAATAGTTCAAACATTGGAAAACAGTTAGAATTTCACGCACCAGCGTATGAAAGCTGAATTCGAAACCTTGAAGGATGAATATCTTTCCGTGATTTCGATTTCATGCACCAGCGTATGAAAGTTGAATTCGAAACCTTGAAGGATGAATATCTTTCCGTGATTCCCCGCACCAGCGTATGAAAGCTGAATTCGAAACCTTGAAGGATGAATATCTTCCCGTGATTCCCGATACGCACCAGCGTATGAAAGCTGAATTCGAAACATTGAAGGATGAATATCTTTCCGTGATTCCCGAGTTAATAGTTTGCCCGCCAAAATTTTCACGAGGCCGTAAGTGGTAACCGAGAGCGCGAGAACGCTGAATTTGAGTGGGCAAGGTTGAGCGTGGGCAGGGGGTCATTAGCCTAAAATTTCAGCCTCCTAGACTCGGTGTTTCCCGAGATATTAACTTACCAGTGAATAACTTTCACGGGGCCGTACTTGTTACCCGCGGGTAAGGGAAGGCTGAATTTGAATGGGCAAGGTTGTAACTTTCACGGGGCCGTACGTGTTGCCTGCGGGTAAGAGAAGGCTGAATTTGAATGGGCAAGGTTGAGGGCGGGCAGGGGGTCATTGCCCTAAAACTCTAAAACTTACTCTAAAACTTCAGCCTCCTAGACTCCGAGGTCCCCGAGATATCAACTTACCCGTGACTTACCCGTGAAAAACTTTCACGTGGCCGTACGTATTGCCCGCGAGTAAGGGAAGGCTGATTTTGAATGGGCAAAGTTGAGCATGGGCAGTGGGTCATTACCTTAAAATTTCAGCCCCCTAGACTCCGTGGTTCCCGAGAT